GAACAACAAACATATATATATATATATATATATATATATATATAATGCTTAACAGATTATTAAAATAGTTCTAATAGTAATAATAATAGTAATACTAATAGTAAATTAGTAAAATATTCAAATAGTTAGAAATGTCATAAAACTTTCATGATTATTATAAAATGGAAATATTAAGCATTATTGGAGTACGTTTTACAAGAAACTACTCAGAATGTCACGTTTAATTCAATGTGTCACTTGCCGTTTCTTTTCACAGTTTCTTAATTCAGAAATTTACTAGCATTTCTGAGTGAAAATTGTTACTACACTTTTTTTTGTCAGTGTATATTATTACAGTAACTTTTGATCTGCTAAGGATTATGAAATGTTCATGAGTGACTTAACAGATTGTTACCCACACATCTGAACGTTACCCCACTCACAGGTGTAATCGGGCATTCGTGGTACCATGATGCCAGCTCGTATCCAGTGCTCCAGTGGTAAAGATCCGGCCATTGCCGCTGACTTCAGCTGCTCCGGATACAGCTGCGTAAAACCCGAGTACGCCAAGGCAGGGTGCTGACCTCCCAAAGCTGAAATAGGGTACATGGGCGTTGTGTACATGCCTGGAAGTGAAGTGAGTCCCTGGTGTGGAAGATTGAGCAGCCCTGGTTTAGGTATGATTCCGGTTTGGAGGTGTATGGCACCCGGGGTCCCGCGGGGGGACGGAGTGTCGGCGCGCCTGCAGGACCCCGGGCTACCCGTCGGGCTGTCGCTGCTCAGTCCAGGTGATGCTTCTCGGGTCCCCCGATGTGGTTCTTCAGCCAGAAGGGCGTCGATCCTGAAGTTCTTTGATTTTTCCATTGCAACGCTTTTAGGGTATTTGGAGTTGCAGGAAAACACTTGGATAGCTGCGTTTTACGCACAGATACATGCGTTTTAATCGCGATTACTGATACTTTCTGTTCTTTTATAACTTAGATATTTAGAGTTTAGTCTAACTAATTTTTGCCCATTTGGAACCATGAGACGCATAAAGTATTTACTAAAGTAGACTACCGTTAATCTTTTACGCACAGAAAAATAAAATTCGCCTAGAAATGATACGAGCGCTTAATCGTACTATATAATACCACTCTCTCTTGTTTAGAACTGTATCTCTGTCATCTGCTCTGCTCTCTGAACTTCCTTGCGCGTTCACATCTCAGTCATAACGCATGTGTGAGCGCTGATTGGCTGCAGAGGATGTCCTGCGGGAGTAGATCACTTGACAGTTTTCTAGTTAACTAATCATACTGTAGTATAGACACTTCGAGCTTGTCCTTTGACTAAGACTTACTCTTCAACCAACATCAGAGCAAAGACGATTGCGAATTTTACAAGTGCCTGACTGACATCAAGCGTTTCTCATCCTCTGACTCACTAGTAACTCAGCTAATTGCACTAACTGCAAGTGTAAAGGTATGCCTAAAGCATCAATAATAATTAAAATAGGCTAAATAAATACATAACTTCTTGTCGCAATGTTTATTTACTTGTATAAGATTAATATGCTTTTATTTGTGACCTGAAACACGTAAATTATACTTAAAAATCTATATGTATAAATATAATTTATTATTGTTATTATTATTTTGTATGTATCTCACATAATATTACATGAAAAGTATAATCTCTCTGAGCAGTTGTCCAAGATGTATCCTACACATTAATACTAATAATGTGATGTAATATTTTTAAACGACTTTTTTAAAGAATGTCGGCTATAATATCAAGATATTGCATTTTACGATTTTACATTATGTATAGTCCATAAAATTGTGCATTAACACACACACACACACACACACACACACACACACACACACACATATATGTATATATATATATATATATTGTGACGAGTCTGCTGCCTCCCCCCTAATTATCATCCTCACCCCGTCCCTTAATCGCCGCCCTTCGCCAGGCTCCCGACAGAGTGTGTGATATTGATTTAGACAAATAAAAATATTCTTTAAAAAAAAGAAAAGTCAGGTCAGACAGACATAGCTCCAACTGCATGCATCCACTTTTTTACAGTGGTCTGCAATAAAAGTAATAATAATAATATTTGCACGAATTTGTCTTTTTCTATGAAATCTCATTGATAATTTTCATCGACTTGAGCAATGATACAAGTACATATGAAGGGGTTTAAGATGCCTTCTAATAAATTAAAGACAATAGTCGCTTCGATAAAATAACACATTTCCGACCGCATCGTGAAATAAATAGGCGAATCATCGCACATTTATGAGTAAAAATAAAGCAGTCTACAATCTTCTGTATTTACAAGTGCGAACGCTCCGAATGTATTATATGGGGAAAATACAAATAATAAAAAGAGTTGTAGACCTAGCCTATATATAAAAGAAAAAAATGAAACCGGCAATTCATTCAAAACCTTCATTCCAGCCATGAACTGCTTGTCGTAAACGCAATAAATCGAGACGAAATGAATTGAAATTCGCAATTGTTATTTTAAATATTGCCTACAAGAAACAGCAGTGGGCGGTGGATTAATAACATGGAAAACAGTCTCTGCACAGGCGACATGAGGCCGAAACTGATGGTTTCGCCTTGACCAGAGAAGATTGGAGCAGCCCGCCCCTCTATCCCGCAAATGAACGCTGATGCAGGCTGTGTCTTTAAACCTAGCGTGGTGCCTAACTAGTCAGCATGTTTGAGGAAGCATTAGATAATTACTGGCATAAACACACAGTCTACTGGTCATCTTTTGTTATTTCCCGTTTTATGGTTTATAGTATACATTTTATCGTAGGCTATATGACAACAAAATGTTAAAATAAATAAATAAAGACTATAGAGTCTTGTTAATATATATGTATAGCCTATAGTATAGATAGTCAGTTCACTAGGTTTGAGACACATCTATAGAGCTAATTTGCTCAAGAGAAATCAAGTGCTCTCCGCATATTCCCAGCAACCTCTTCCTCCCCTCGGCCGTTGCACTGCCACTGGTAAATCTGTCATTGGCACCCTGTGACAGAGGTGCGCAAATTAAATTGAATCACATCTTCTCTTAAGTAGAGTGCGCACACATACACATGTAGGTTTGTTGCACGCTACCAGTGATTAAATGCAATGACAGGCAGTGCTAAAACTATAGACGGCTGAAATACATGAATGGTTGTGGTAGCTGAGATGGCTAATATTTATATTTTATTTTTGGATTCATATTTTAATTGTTTGTAAATGTTTAGATTTAAGATGATTTACAATATTTTGCAAAGGTAGATTGACGCATTTTACTGCGCTTTATGGTTTTCTTTCTATAAGTCCAAATGGCTTTGCTTAGATGTTGCTGTTTCATAGCTCAGGTGACTTGTATCTAACTTGTATGTTTCAGTTAAGAATCAAGTTTGTCTCAGATGTTTCTCCTTAAAAGTTCCTTAATTGCTGATATACAGTAGAGCTTAAAAATTAATATAGTCCAAATTGTTCAGTTGAGGACTTGATGAGAAATGTTTTAGTTTGTATTGATATCCAATTTTAATTTTCAATTTGACTGCAGATGTGATGTTTGAGCACAAAATGGGACATTTTTTAGATTATAGAAAGTGTTTTATTTCACTCAGAATACAGCTACAAATAATCAGATAAATGTGGATAAAATAAAATCAGTTAAGATAACAAATCAATGCTTTTTTTTTTGAGGAATTGTATTTTAGCCGGAAGCAGTTTGAAGTTGACTAAATGATTTACATCTACATCCTGGATGGCCTGAGGATGAGTACATTTTCAGCAAATTTTCATTTTTTGGGTGATCATTAATTTAAGATCACTTATCATTGTGCAGTTTCGATATGCCTTTCAAAGTCAAAGTTTATCATTTAAATTTGGGCCTGTAAACTTTAGTAGGGTACAACCATAGACTGTATAAAAAGGGTACAACGGGGCTTAAGGCGCCTTTGATATTATTTTCATCTAAACCACTAGATGGCACAAAAACGTGGCGTAGCGCTTTCCAAAACATCCGCTTTTCAAGATGCATGTGTATATTTGTCTGATCCTTGAGGCGATCTCGCGCAGCAGTGCGAAGTTTATTCTGTGCTTACTTGGTCTAATATGTTATGTTTTTTTTTTTTAATGTTGTAGATTTCATAAATAAATAAAGGATGATCAATATATAGAAAGATACATGTAATATAATATATGCTTGTGTGTGTATATTTACATGTTTGCGAATATGCATGTTAAGCTGCTTAATATCTATATACATAATGAAGGTCATTTGAGGTCATTCTGGATGGAATTGAGTTAGGACACATGTTCTCTCCCTGGATGTATATAGTTTTTTTTTTTTTTTTTATGTTACTTTTCTTTGTAAAAAGGAAAACAGGTTATACTTTGAAACAATTTAATGAAGGTTGAGTATAATTTATAGTTAAAACATACCAGGTAATTGTACATAATTGTACAAGATACTCCATGGTTGCATTGATTATTGTATGTAACTTGAAATATGCTACATGATTGTACTCAAATGATTGTTCACAACAAACAAAAAAAAATAGATTTATTTATTTTTTTGTAGATTTCAGTAGCAAATGAGAATAGCTCAAATTAATGCATATATTTTGAGACAAAGGTCTTCTTTATGATTTTTCAGTGTTGTTTAAGATAATTAAAGCAACAGTTTTTAAATAAAGAAAGAATATGTAAAAGTATGGTATTTGGGGCAAAAAGCGCCCCTGCTGTTGGGGCTAAAGGTGCAGAGTAATTAACATGATAATTAATAGATGGCTGACTTATTAATCATATCATATAATGAAATATCATTTGTTGTTACTACTGTAAATATATATTCAATTATTATTCAATGCTTTCAGAATCTTTACTTATTAAAACGATTTTGTTTCTGTATTTTAAAATATAATTTTATATTAACATATTTTAATGACAGTATATTTATCGAAAACATTTTTTTTTTTTTAATAAGCAGAAAATAGTACAAACTTTCCTAAAGTGATTGTTTTGAACAAGTATTAACTTAGACATTATTTAAAAAAAAAAACATTATTTTAGCTGAAGTATTTGTAGCACTACCGTGTGAATTTTACCCCATGCTGGTGAGCCTTTTACCCCGTGAGTGGGGTAAAAGGCCCCTCTTGCCACCTCATACATTTATAAGGTTTTTAAACAAAATAAACAACTTTAATGATTTATTGTCACACAAAATCTGTTGCTCTATTAATGTTCAATACAATGTACAGTATATATTTTTCTGCAATTATACATTTTAGGTGCAGTGAATGGCACATTTTTTCTTGAGGTGGGCCTTTAGCCCCGTTGTACCCTACCTGTCGCGTTTACAGAACATTAAAGGCCTTATCACCGATTACATACATATTTTGCAGTCATTATCGCAGCTCAGCAAAGATCACACAGCCGTGACCGGCAGACGCCTTAGTACCTTATGACCTCTTTTTGATCCTCTGCCTGTGTATTTTTTTTTTTTATGGAAATGAAACAGAAGTCTGATTAGCATGACCCAAATTTCATTCTGGTACAAGCTGACCTATTGGTCACTTTTATTTTGAACTATATGCATATAAATCACATTACAATGCAAGATGTTTTGTCTGGAACAATAATAATATCCTGGAATAGTAACATTTGCATGGATAAGCACAACCACTCGTATCAGATAAAGTAAAATCTGGTTTATTATCAGATGTTTTATTAAACGAGTGCCATTCACAAGCCCTTTTAGTGTACCGACTTTTGAAAAATTAGCACGAGGTTTCATCTAATGCATTATACTAATTATTCCTGCTCTGAAAACATCTCTGAGGACAGGT